TTCCTAATAGACATGCATGGGGATGATTATGATTCTGCGAAGTCATGTTAAGAATCCCACATCATTAATATATAAGGGACATTGAGCGTTTGGTGAAGATTATGGAAATAATTTATCTAGTTTTCAGAGTTGAAAGAGTCATTGTAGTACAAGCTTTCAACAGTATTGACAATAAACTAGAAGAGGAACAGTTTTTTTTTTTTTTGCGGACTCGAACATACATATTGTCAATCTTGATTTTGGGAATGAACGTTGGAGAACACACACTTTTGTTGGTTTCAATTGTTTCTTATGAAAACAGCCATTACCACAAATATATATAGAAATATCTTTTACATTATTTCTGAGGACGATAAATTATACCAGATGAAACAACAAACAAGCCAAACTAATAAAAACAGAGAATACGATACCGTTAATCCTTGGAGATGCTTAAGAAGATACCATATGCAACTAATCTCCATCACAATCAGATAATACGTACCAAACCGACCATCAAAGTCAATCGACGGAAAGAAGTAATCGATTAATCTCGTAAAGATGTGAAACATAACGAAAAGAGACAATGGGGAATGACCTGCTCGTTGGCTTATTGTCTTCTGCTTGTGGGATCGAGTTTTCATCATTAGTTGCTCTCGAGGTACGAGCAAAGATACGGTTGATTGATGCTGCATGCGAAACCGTGAAAGTATCGGGCTTTCTTTTTCGATTTACGCCCAAAAGTATCAGTATAATAAGTAAGCCGGTTTACAGTAAACCGTGAAAGAATAAAGCAAATCAAATTAGTGAGGAAAATTTTTGGTAAACGAAAGCTTTCGGGTTTGGGCTTTTGTACGAAGCCCGAATACGCCCTTTTAACATTAAACCGACAATAACGGAAAAGGAAAGTCAATCCGCGAGGGTATTTTCGACATTTTAGAGTCGGTGTTTTAGGTCTAGGGATCTATCTATATAAGAGCCGCGAGTAACCTAACCCCAAATCACCTCCACCTTCACGATTTCGATTGTAAAATTAGGGTTCTTCGGTTTATTGCATCTAAGAAGTTTTTAGGTCTTATCATCGATGAATTATTATAGTTTCGCAGGAGCCCCCGGGCTAATCTGATAAATAATTCATGAGGAGTTAAGCCCCAAAGCTCCTGCTAGATTGTGTTGTCATTCGTGTTGCAGTTTTGTCTCGTTTTTATTCCGGCTTAACTGTGTCAAAGCAATGTCTAGATTTCGTATTTGATTCGTAATTGATTTTGGCTATGATTACAAAATTATCCGCGCTTCTGAGATCTTTTTGTCAATGAAGTATATACGGAAAACAATGGTTGAATTTCTTAATATGAGCCTCTTGATTCGTTTTATTTTTGTTTTGGGCACTGATGATTAAATCTAACAGCTTTACGCCAGTTCTGCTTCAGAAAATTCTTGATAGAAGAAGCTGTATAAAATCTGAGCCTCTTTTTATTTGATAATTTTTTTCATGTTTTTATTTTTTTTGTTACGTCTATGATGATATAATCCAATTTCGAGGTGCAGTGGAGCTGAGACCCTGTTTACAGGGAGAACCCCTTAGCAGAAACTGTAATTTCTATGAAGCTAAATGGATTTTAACTGAGGCTTTGTTTCTGTAAATTTCTGTTTATTTGTTTGTCAAATTATTCAATTGAAGCTTTGTTGGTGAGAAAATTAGACGATTATATTTAAAGATTGGTGTGGTGGTGTTTGTGAATGGATGGAGGTTATATCCGGTGACATCGAATATTGAAATGTTCGATGGAGATTTTGGATACCATGTGAACTGTTTTCCTTGTCGAAATCTCTATTAACATTGCAATTTTCGATTTCTCATTAAGATTGTATTATCACCAGCTTGGCAACTGACGAATATGTATTAGCACCAGTTTTGTCGTTAGTTTGGTGAATGTATTAAACTAAATAAAACGTTATTCTTGACCAAGTTATTCTTAATTTATTTGTAGATTTTGTTATTAGCAACTCCAAACGTTTTGTGTATAGAACTGTCGACGATAGCTAATCAGTTTGCCGAAGCATCCGTTTACAATGGGAATAAGAACTAATTCGGATAATGACTTTTTTAATTTTTCGACCTTTGTCGATTTATAATCATGGGTCCAGTTTCACTTATAAATAGGCCCAGTGTTATTAACTGGTTTGAGAAATGTCAATAGTATAACGATGTCATGACCTTTAAATTGGCAAACACTTAGCTATGTTCTCTATTTGACATTATGAAACGCATAATAAACGAATTTAATGTTTAAACAAAAGCAAATGTAAAGTCAACCAACGTTTTTAGTTTAAAATCATCGGCCCAATTTCACTTATCAAAGTTTTTGTAGTAAACCAATTTGAGAATGCCATAGTATAGTTGTCTTGACTTTTAAATTGTCAAAACAACGTATCTGCGTTATCTCTAGATATAAATTCGTATAATAAACGAACTTTTAATGTATTAACAAAAGCATCACTCATCAAATTATAAACAAACAAATCTACAATTTTTTTACAATGTGCTTCCACAAGTCTAGGCAAATTAAAATACTTTGATTACGATCATGTGTTTTTTCATTCTAGACCCATAGCGAAAGTGGTTAAAACAAATAACCAAAAGTAAAAAAAAGAAAAGTAGAAAAATAATCACAATTATCAGCTCAACGAGCTAAAAAACCGATCTTTTTTCATCATTTGACTAAACTCCTGGTAATTAACCCTACCATCACCATCAACATCCACTTGCATTATCATCTTCCTACATTCCTCCAAGGTTTTACCTTGCTTGAGTCCCAAGGAAGACAAAACCGCTTTCAATTCATCCACTGTAATAAACCCATCTCCGTTCCGATCGAAAACGTTGAACGCTTCTTTCATATCTTCTTCTCCTATCTCGTCCTCGTCTTCCACCATTATCGTTTTGTAAAGCTCTCCAAACTCTTCAATGTCAACATATCCGTCACCATTCACATCGATCTTCTCGATCATTTGTGTTAGCTCGTTTTCGGGTATTATGATCCCGAGGTTTTTTAATGACTCGTTTAGCTCATTCTTCGTGATCCGCCCGTCTCCGTCCTTGTCGAACATTTGGAACACACGTTTTAGCTCCGTGGAATCCATTTTAGGTTTTTGGTTTTGTGGTTACTTGTGGAGGAAGAAAGCGTGAAAAAAAAAGTGAATGGTGAGACTCCGAGAAGCCAAAAAAGAGGTCCTTTCTTGGCCCCTTGGAGACCCGATAAGGGTAGTTTCAGAAATGAAGGAGAATGATAAAGAAATGTGTTTGAAAATCTAATCCAAAGACGAGGTAATAATGTGTAAATATGGACAAAAATAGGTGAGATCGGGAGAGATTGTCTTAGGGTTTGGGTTTTTGTTGGTGGGGAGGGAATGTTGGGTCTTTTAAAAGAGACTTGTGGCATTGTATCAAAGTCTTAAAGTTGATCGGTTCTATAAATTTTAACCCAAAAAACTTATCTTTATTTTTAGTTAATTCATATCTATCAAAGTATTATTTTACTTAAACTTAGCTAATTAGCCGGCAAAAGACCAAAATCCGATGGAGTGGTGAACCACTCACTTTGTGTACTGTCCCAACTATGTGAAGTCTTTTGTATTCATTTTT